CCCAAGTCTCTGTAGATGGCAAAGGTCACTTGAGATATCGATTTTTAAAACTCTTAGCAATTTCTTCTCTCAAAATATTCGGTTTATTGTCCACGGTGTCAAGCATAGCGTCTTCATCGACGTCGAAAGATTGCCCGGAGCATGGTCGAACATTTAGGCTAAAACCACCCTATTGAAATCTGCAAAGCCATTTTTTTTGACATTCCAAAGAGATAGGGCACCATACAAATTGACTTTCTGAATGTATTTTTTGTCTTGACGCTTACTCCTTTCCGAAATTCACAGAGCACAATATGGCGAAAGTGCAACTTATCATCCCCCATCTTTAAGGCATTCATTTGTGGCCAAAACGTTATCATTCAACAAAGTCTGACTCGTAAGTGAACGATGCAAGTTTTCCAATCGAGAACAGACTAGAAATCAGCACCAAAACTAGCATCAGTATCAACTTACGGTCATTTTATATTAATAGTGAAACCGGGAACCAACTTTTTCAGTGATCTGATATTTCATTTTGTTTTTAATCTGAATTATATGTAAAAAAACGACTTTTTTTCCCCCTCGATTATACCAAAAATTTCTGAAAATAAACAGGTCTCTATTTTTTTTTGGTGCTATTCGAAAAAAAAATTTGAGGAATTTAAAATGTGAAGTAACTTTCTTAGAGAAAAGAAAAAAATCGATACATGACTGACGAGGCAGATTTTATCCCACGATAGAACATTTGTTATCCAAGGCTATAGAACCGGGTCTACCCTGCTATTTACCCATAACTGGGGTGGGGGAGAAGAAGATTATTCTTACCTTTCTCAAGGGTATTAGCACGTAAGGGAATCTAATGAATTCGACTGGAATTCGAACTCGGCTCTCCGATTCCTCAATCCGATCCGCTATCCATTACTCGACAGTACCACATTAATTTTCACTCTTTATCGCCCTCTTGACAATGGAGCACTGATTTTCGGCCGCATATCTGAGAGGATTGATAATCTCCCTGAATTCTTCATACACGTGGTGACTTTAATATTCTCCACAAATCCAATGAAGAATGTCAAGACTTCTCCATCTCCTTTGAACTAGCTCAGATTATTGAAGAACGCACCCTGACGTGACAAAAGATCAAGGCAAACTTCAATGACCTTTTCCTTACATCCTGCCTTGAAAAACCACGTCTGACCATTCCATAGTCAGTGTTCAAATTGATGCCAAAAAAGGCCTCAGATCTTACATAGCGGAAGCTCCTCTCTCAATCTTCTTCAAACATAGTGCCTTCAAACCTGCTGAAGGAGCTCGCAATGTCGGGCTTTTCATAGCCAAACACGACGACCAAAATCACCACGACCACAGACTCAGCGCCTACATTAATGACGGGTTTCCCTGCGCTAGAAACACAGAAAACGAGGAACCTGATCTCCCGTATATGTGCTTCCGCGTGGCATATATCCAGAGTAATGCACTCATTTTCGCTCTTTATCGTCGTCAGGACGACGAGACATTAATTTTCGACAGAATATCTGCGAGTATTATAGACTAGCTTTCATATCTGTAATGATAACAATATTCTCCACAAAGAGTGGCTAGTCCACTGGAACAAATCCGACGAAGAAAGCAGATAATATCAAGACTTCCGTATCGCCTTTGGACTAGCTCAGATTATTGAAGAACACACCCGATTTCTTGACGCGACAAGACATCAGGTCAACGTCCTTGAACTCTTCTTAAAATCCTGTCCTGAAAAATGTTTCGCAAAAGTTTTATTCCCGCCACCATGGACACGCCTGACTATTCCATAGTCAGTGTTCAAACTGATGCCAAAAAAAAGGCATCCCCTGATTTGCCATTCCATAGAATCCTTTTTCGATAAACGGTGGCAGACTGAGACAGTTTCAGATCTTACATTCGGGGAGGGCGAGGATCATTTTGAATAAGTTGGAAAATGATCTTTGAATATATATTTGAACTTCATGAGCTTCTGATCCTTAGCTATGATTAATGATAAACATGTCATTTTCATATATGATCGATTTCATCATGATTCTTCTGTTAAGCTTAGGGAGTAGTTCTACATTCCTATTGCTCAAAGTAGAGTACAATAGTGTTATAAAAACCCCGGAGAATTCCAGTAATATATCTTTAATCATTTCTAAGATACTACGGTTCAAAGCTTTAATCTAACAATTGGACAATTTTGCTGTTACACGATTTGGACAATTTCGCTGTGACACGCGGTACGTGCTTCGGCGTGGCACACATCCACAGTACCACATTCATTTTAGCTCTTTATCGTCCCCAGGACGATCAGACATTAATTTTTGACAGAATATCTGAGAGTATTGAATTTCCCTAAGCTAGCTTTCATATCTGTAAGGAGAACAATATTCTTTTACGTTGCAAAAAAATAAAAATAAAAAATAAAATAAAATAAAATAAATAAATATATTATATTTAAATAGTCACAAGTCAAGGGAAGTCGGTCGGATTACTGTGTGTGTGCCAGATGGCGTAAAAATAGTACCCGTGATAATATGCTTAGAAACATGACATCTGGGATTATTACACGTTACATTGTCTTGATAATTTGGTGATTTATACACTAGACTAGCTTATAAGCAGTTCTATTGGGCCGCAATTAAACTAGTCTATTCTTAGTTAAATGACTTGAACCAAAGAGTTGTGAGTTCAATATGTGGCGAACAAAACGTGGAGAGTTGAGTTACTGAAGGGAGATAACTGAAACAGAGATATCCAGAAAAAAAAGGCATGTCACGTGGAACTAGTAACAACTAGTAACAACCTATCCTCGTGGACTGAATAACGGGTTCGTTTCGAAATTCCAACGTATATCACCTGAAGAAGGTCAGAGCGTACAACGGCCGAAAATTCGTGAATATTACAATAAAGATGAGGACAACAATGTAAATAGTGCATTTTTTTTTCTTAGGTGAGAAAATTATTTCTACTGGGATTTAAAGCTTTAATAATTATTTTTTAAAAATAGTTTTAAGGGGATCATTTCTATTGAGAAAGCAACTGAATAATTGTACTATGTATTGTTTGTAGTCCCTATTATAAGAACAGATCGGTTTTATGCGTAAACACCGGCTATAGATTATTGATTTTATTTAGATTGGTAGGATGGCAGCTGTTAAAAGTTAGATAGCAATGACCATCTATAGGTTTAGTGTATACATTAAATCTACAGACGGTCATTGCTACCTAAATTTGGAGAGGTGGCAGTTGTTTAGATCTACCATTACATCCAGAAACGGAATGGAAGTGACTGAATATTTGTTGTAGAGTAGTTTTCACAGTGGAGGCTTGTATTTCAATAAGTCGTCCTAAATTAGGTTCGACAAAAAAAGGTTAGGAACTTGAAATAAGAGTTAATGACGCAGCAATCTATTTGTGATGATTAGTACTTCAATGTCCGACATCGACTGACTCGCTCAACACCACTCAGCTCCACTGGCCACTGCTACTACTACTTATTATCTGTGGGAGAGTCTATTACAATAGAATAGGTATTATGGTATAACAATATTCCAGTGTGAATTTGACAGTGCTGTGAAAATTGTTGATTTGATGTCATGGAGAGTGTTCTCAAGACGTGCCCATCTGACAACGATATCGTCTATGTATCTGTGGTAATAGAGAGGACCTAGGTGGTATCTACTTAACATATCTCGTTCTAGGGAATCTATAAATATGTTCGCATAGCTGGGGACCATTGTTGTTCACATCGTTGTGCTTCTAACTCGAAGAAAATGGTGACCATTAAAATTCTACAACCCTAATCGTGGCAGACAACCAGACCACAACTATTAGTTATCTCCCTTAATATAATCTAGGCGGGAAAAAAATCCCCCGAAGAAACTTCACCACTACATTCTCTATTTTTTTTATTTCCCGTCTCGTTGATAAAGGATGCCGTCGTGTCTGAAAATACCGAATTTTAAAATCTTTCTCATCATGCTTGCATTTGGTCCAAAGGTCGACTTATTTATGATAAATATTATTAGTCTTATTATTAATAATATTATTTTTGTTTTTTTATATCGAGGTTCTTTCTTTTAATATATATTATATATATATATATATATATATATATATATATATATATATATATATATATATATATATATATATATATATATATATATATATAGGGCATCTCAGCGTGGTGTAATGTTTAGCAAGCTTGTCTCGCTAAAACAATTACGACTGAGTAGTGAGTTCGATCCTCACGGGGTGCCCCCTACTTTCGGCCTTGTGCCACATGTAAGCTAGGTTCAGAAAATCACTATGTATATATAAATATATATTACTAATTTTCACCCAATATGAGGACCAATGGCCACTCAAGGTTTCAAATTAACATTGCATTCTTCATATAACCCCAATTTAACATCATAATGCTAATATCCGGGTTTAATTTTATATAACCTCTTCCCTTTAAGGCTTCAACACTCCTCTAACGTCCGTCTTGGGCATTTCGTCTGAATGAAGCACTGAAATGGACAAATTCTGTATCATTTTTTTCGACGGCTGTCAAAGTTAAATTTCTAATTCCGACACGAACACAGTCTATACACCGGGGTTGAATAAGACTGAAGTAGTTTTTGTCGGCTGAAATAGATCTATTCCCCCTCCCCCGCCATATGATGTAATTTTGGATTTTGTTGTGCAATTTAATGCTCTGTTATAATAAATACATTGAGCTCTTTTTGTGGACCAGTTTTCATATTTCATATTATTAGGATCCACTTGGATTATATACCAACGGATTTATTACCTATGATATATATATATATACTAATATTCATCCAATACAAGGCCCATGGGTCATTCAAACTAGAGGGTTACTGTGTGGAGTTGTATTAGCTTAAGAGATGACAGGAAGTGAAGTTCCTCGGAAGAACAAAAAATGAACCTGGCTGAGATCTAATTGTTGACTGCAAGTTGGCATCCATTATTGCTCACAATCCAAAGATTCTCAATACATGTCACCCCCCTTTTTTTTCTCTTTCTTTTTAGAATTCAAACCAACCTTCTGGAAATCATCATCGACTTCCCGAAACTTCATTGGGTCGACAGGGGGAAACGTTTCCCTGATTTGTCGACCAGAGGGAGCACCGTACCCGGAGATATCGTGGTCAAAGGATAATCAAGAACTTCGACTGAGCAAAGGAGGCGACGGAATGGGCAAGTTTCAAATGCTGGGCAACGGAAATCTCTTTATTCAGGCCTTATCACAAAACGACGCCGGGAACTATAGATGCACCGCCAAAAACTCAGAAGGTACCGCCAGCATATCTATTGGATTAAAAGTAATGTGTAAGTACCTCAAGTTTCTCTTTATAAACACACACACACACACACACACACACACACACACACACACAAATATATATATATATATATATATATATATATATATATATATATATATATATATAAAAAATATAGTCTTAAGGTGTGCTCTATTTATGGAATAAAGTGATCAGTATCAGAGAGAGAGAGCGTGTGTAAATATAAAAGTGAACATAGAAGTCAACACTTAGAGGCGACAGTCTGTTTCATGCTATATGCAATCGTCATGCCAAATATGCTGTTATTTTTCTCGGCTATTTATATATATACGGGTTAGTGGTGCATTGTGGGTATTCTATTATGGCGGTTATTTTACCGGAAGTCGTTTGTTTATTTATTTGGGTCAAATTATATTGCTCGTTTTTATTTTTGTTTCTTATTTTATTTATTTATTTATTGACGTAGTAAAAATTTGTTTATATCACTTATTTAACAGTTTTGTTTTGGTTTGAGAATTTAATTAAAGCTATTTGTTCAATTTTAGGGTTGGTTGTTGTAGTTCATTCTAACTATTATTTTGGCGGGAAGAGTTTTTAATTTTGGGATTGGTTTGTCTGTTTATTTACTTGGATGAATTTAGGTCAATTTATTTTACTTGTATATTTTCTCTTTTCGGTTTTAAGCAACATAGTATTTATTTATTTTTTATTTCTATCTTTTATTAGTGTATTTATTTGTTTTTATTTTATTTTTTCCGTTTTTCATTTTTTAGGTTACGTAGTAAAAATTTATTTTCATGTCTGCATTTTGAGATGAGCTCGGATCTTTTATTTAATAATTTATTTTGGTCGGGGAAAGTAATGATAGCTATTTTTCCTCCATGCAAAGTTTGCAAGTTATATATAATCATAATTGAGTAATTCATCGAGTCTAGACGAATCCTTCACAGAATGCAGAAAGCACTGGACGGCCGTTTCGTCCTATTTGGGACTCATCAGCAGTGCGCCTCCACTACCGTTGCTCCAGTGGGTATGACGCTTGCGTCGTATAGTAACGATTCGGGTTCAATTCTCGGTAGTGAGGGCACACTGCCGATTAGTCCAAAATAGGACGAAACGGCCGTCCATTGATTTCTGCATTCTGTTGAGGATTCTTCTAGACTCGATGAATTATTTCATTATGATTATATATATATATATATTACAATTATTTTTTTTAAATATGATTCCTTCGCGTGATTTTTAAAAATAAAAACAAAAATACTAAAGAACCCTGGATTATTTATCTGACGTGTTCTTTCCTATTTTTCTACACATACACACACACACACACATATATATATATATGTGTGTGTGTGTGTGTGTGTGTGTGTGTGTGGTGCGATGAATAAATTGTCGTTTAAATTACGAAAAAAAACAAAAATAACATTGACAACTCAGTTTAACAGATATATTTGCCAAAATTACACAAAAAATATCTTGAAATTGTTGTGGTAGGATCCACCTAATTTGCATAGTGTAGTACCGACCATATAAATATGGTTGGTACTGGGAAGACGAGGGGAGGAATCAAGAGATTCAATCCAGAGACTCTGCCCGACTGCGACTCAGTCAACACATTCTCCAGGAACGGTCTTACCAGGAATATACAAAAGGCTATATGTAAATATTGTGGACACTTTCTTGTTTCAATACATTTTGTTCTAAGTACATTTTGTGTTGCATTATTATTCCATGCATTAGTCAAGTTTCAACAGAAATACTAAAGAGTAATTTTATTCAATAGAATCGGCATTGGCTTTAACCATGTCCTCCAAACGACCTCGGAGTCTTCTGCAACTCTTCTGGACGGTCTTCTTGTTTAAGTTGGTGAATGCTGCCATAATCCTTGCATTCAGTTCATCTTTGGTGTGACAGAGAGTTTTGTTGGTCTCTTGCTCAACTGCGCCCCACACATAATAATCAAGGGTGTTGCAGTCTGGGGAGTTAGGTTGCCAGATGTAAGGGGTGAGGTGGTCGCTAAAAATTGTCTGACAGATATGACTGGGTTGTCTTGCTTGTGTTACATAGTGCAGAGAACTTTTGTCAGCAGTCATCCTTTTAACCCGGAGCAGCACTACCTCCTCAAGACACTTAACGTAGGCCACCGTGTTGAGTCTGAGTTCCTCACCCAAAAATTCATGAGTTCTTTTCTTACGAGTGGGTTTTCCGAGCTGCCGTACATTAGTAATCACCATTAGACTCATCCAACTCTTTCCAGATCCGCTGAACTGTCCTCAAATTGACACCAAAGCACACTGAAATGTTCGTATTGAAGCTTCCGGCGGAATGCCAAGCAGTACGGCATGCCGTTTTCAAATTTCTGACGGAGTGAATTGTGTCATGGTGCCTTTTTTCTTTTTCTTTATATATTTTTTAGTGGTTAATATATACATAAATATGCAATCATATATCTAAAATTTATAAATATATATACATACATATATATATGTATAAAAAATAATTCCAAGAGGATAGAATCCAGGTAGAACTCAATGTCCAGGACAGAGTAAGGATATAATAAAAAGGCTTAAACACTAATAGTCCATGGTCATAATTTATTCCATTGGAATCGTAAATACGATCCAATTCATCAGACCTACAAATTCAAAAAGAAAACAGAAAAAACAACTCCGGGAATAAAAAATAAAAAATAAAATTTAGTGAGAGTGTATGTATGAGAGTGTGGGACTAATGTTAGAGTAAATGAAAGCTATAGAGAGGGGTAACAGACGAGAGAAGAACAGGAAGGTTTAAAGATGAAGGGGAGGGGGATTAAATCTTAAGAGAGAAGTTTTAAAGAGGGGAGTCAAAGACGGTTTAAGTGAGAGAAATATGAATGTTCTCGGATGTCTAATACATTAAAGATGTAACCGGAAAGGATACATTTTGTGGTGACATACACACACAATAGACGATAAAATTTTAAAGATCAGAAGATGAGAGGGGGAGAGGAAAAGAAAAGAAAAGAAAAGAAAAGAAAAAGAGGTGGAGGAGAGAGATGGGGTGGGGGGAACTAAAACTGAAGGCCATTTATAAAAGGGCCGCTGTGTAACCAAGAAAATTTGACAAAATTAATATCGACTACAGGTTACAAATCAAATATAAACACATAAAAAAAACAAATATTACGATTATCTAATCTAGCAAGGACCTAGATTTCTATGTTCAAAAACACATGCGTATACACACACACACAACATATTTATATTTACACGTACATACATACATAACAACATATTTATATTTACACGTACATACATACACAACAACATATTTATATTTACACGTACATAAATACACAACAACATATTTATATTTACACGTACATACATACACAACAACATATTTATATTTACACGTACATAAATACACAACAACATATTTATATTTACACGTACATACATACACAACAACATATTTATATTTACACGTACATACATACACAACAACATATTTATATTTACACGTACATACATACACAACAACATATTTATATTTACATACATACATACACAACAACATATTTATATTTACACGTACATAAATACACAACAACATATTTATATTTACACGTACATACATACACAACAACATATTTATATTTACACGTACATACATACACAACAACATATTTATATTTACACGTACATACATACACAACAACATATTTATATTTACACGTACATAAATACACAACAACATATTTATATTTACACGTACATACATACAAAACAACATATTTATATTTACACGTACATAAATACACAACAACATATTTATATTTACACGTACATACATACACAACAACATATTTATATTTACACGTACATACATACACAACAACATATTTATATTTACACGTACATACATACATTAGGCAGCAAGACAAGTTTGATTAAAAAGAACAGACAATGGCTGTCTGACTATTTTTATTATATTTTTCGTTTGTTGAATAGGAGATTTTTTTAAGCATTTCGAAATTCTCACAATATTTTCTACTGTTCAAGTCATCCATAACATTTTTCTCGAGACTTACAAACTCTACATTTCGTTCAATTTTGCAAATCAATCGATGAAATTGGAATAATCTGATTTGTTTGCAAAAATACTTTGAAAAAAACCCTACTTTATGGTTTCATAATTTCTTCAGTTTAATTTAGTTTTATAGGACAAACAATATTTTTTAAGAAAATTTCTTTTTCCACATTTATTTTTTAAACAGCGAAGAATAAATTCTTAGGATTTCTTACTCTTGAGCATGCAGCATACAACTGGCCACGCGTAAATAGTTCTCTCTGGAACTAAATTCTAAATTTTTGAAACGTTTGGCCTTGTGATTTGTTTATAGTTCTCGCAAACGCAGTGTGAACTGGATACTAGATTGTTATATATATAACAATTAAAGAGAATATATGCAAAAACAATATTCCTTTATTATTAAATAATTTTTGTATTTATTGTATTTGTTATTTTAATCATTAAATTGCTTTTAAAATAATGGGATATTTTGTATGTTAAATAATAAGCTTTTTATTTTTCCAAAGAAATGATTATTGTATTAACCTACGCGCCCTAGTAAAACCAACTGTACTTTGTATCCATCTTACCTGTGTGCACTCCGCCCCAAAAACTGGTTTTGACCGGTCAATATGAGGCTATTTTAGAGGGTGTGACGGACGGACGTATCGATTAACAGAAGTCATAGAATTTATATTGACGGTTTTTAATATTTTGCTCGAAATAGTGAATAGACTCTACTTGAACAAAACAATATCAGAATATGAACTTATTACCGTTTATCCACAATTCCGAGCAGAATATTCAATATCTTATTTGGGAATTGGAAAAATATAATAAATAATGAAGCAGGCAGGCAGGCCTCGTTGGATATCTTTTTTTATATACAAAATTCTTTGTATATATATTGGCTCCTTTATATATATATATATATATATATATATATATATATATATATAAGAAAAAAATATACTGAAAAAACAAACAAAAAATCCTAATATGCAATTATGCTGTTTTAATGTTTAATGTCAACGTCGGACGTTTCTAATAGACCATCTTCAGGACATATTCATAAAACATATGTCCATCGTCTTTTCATGTTGAATTGTATATGGTCTATGTTGATTATGTTTTATGAATATGTCCTGAAGATGGTCTATTAGACCAGAAACGTCCGACGTTGACATTATATTAACATTAAAACAGCATAATTGCATATTAGGATTTTTGTTTTTTTTTTCAGTATATTTTCTTCATACTGTCGGATCTATATCCATATATTTGCTTACATACATATATATATATATATATATATATATATATATATATATATATATATATATATTCTTTTATATTTCTTTATATATATATATACACACACACACACACATATATATATATATATATATATATATATATATATATATATCTTATATATATTGGCTTCCTTTATTACCATAATCATTCCCAGAAATAAGCAATTTATAAATTTTTAAATCTTCATAACAACCCCAGAGCTGAAGGTTACTGATGCTGGCAGTTTGCATATGCCAAAGACTAACGGTAAAGAACTTTCTTTATGAGAAAGCCTTCAAGTTCCAGACATATTCTGAGTTTGCTAAGATCTATGATAAGAACAGCTTTTCTATCTGTCGAATAACATTTTTAATGCATATTGTTATAATTGTTCTATTTTAGTATCAGTTGTTGTAGTTAAACTCGTCTTGCGCAATTAAGAGGCGGTTCCACGCTATTAAAAAAAAAACTCCCGATCTGAGGTTTTGCTGCCGGATGTACTTTATCGTCATACACAGGGTACAATGATATAGAGGAGTCATATGTAGTCATTAGATGTGTATATGAAATAAGCTTTGGGGTAAAGGCCTGTGAAAAAAGACAATACTTTTTAAATAATTTCATTCATTTATGATTAAGTCCTGGAAGTTTCATTAAAATCAGACGATTATTTGATTTTTGCAAGAATTTCCAAATCAGTGTGTTTTTCACCGGAAAAATTTTAACCCCTACGTCAACCACTGTCGTAAAAAAAAAACTAGATTTTTAACCAAAATATCGAAAGGATTAAACATTTAACAAAAAAATACTTTTGTTTTTCTTCTTAATAATAACATAAACATTTCGACGATAAAATTTTGGTTTTATTAAGTTTGGGTTCGTTTTCCATGATACTATACAGTTTTTCCAGCGAAAAAGTGGGGGTACCTCTTTTTAATATACTCTAATATATAATAATAATAATAGTAATAATATATTGGGGTCATATACAGGATTTAGATGTGCACATTATAGCAAAGTCTTTAAAAACGAAAATACGTTGTTTTATTACACTTTGAATAATAATAATAATAATAATAATAATAAAATTATGGGCGGGACCCGGAAAGAAATGTGTAAACGAAGAAATGAAAAAAAAATAATAATAATAATAATAATAATGTGTCATCTGGTATAAATATCGCTAAACCGACAAAACTTGAGTTTGAACATAGATCGCCAATGAACAAACACCCTGTGATCCATTATTGAACTAAGTAATGTCCTCGTGACGAATTTCTGAAATTATGAACCCTAATGTCTTCAGCAACCATTTTACCAGTGCTCATATTGCAATTTTTGATCGTCTTATTTTGTAACAAATATGGCGACAAAGATGGGGACAATAATCCGAATAATGTAAATAATGTACATAATATCTCATCTCAAAATATAGACAAACATCTTTGTATATGATGGTTTCCGTCAATATAAAGGATAGACTGGGAATACGAACTAACAAATTCGGATTCCCAATGGGCGTAATCCTCTATTACTATTCGGATCACCAAAATCTACTCTAAAAAAGAATTACTATACGGACCACAATACTCCATTCACAATACTATTTTTCTTAAACGGATCATATTTGGATTACTATTCTGCCGTACCAAACAAGCTGACGTAAGAATGCGACCCGTATTCATCGTCTGACATTAGTATTGTTGAAAGGCGTAACTGAAGGTTTATCCTTGCCGCATTACAAAGTTCTACTACAACGATCAGCAATACTAAAATAGACTGCCCAAAATGGCTGATTCTGTGATAAATATCCGGCACGATTGTTCATTGACATCATTTAGTGTTAGCACCAACTGAACATAAAACTCGACATAATAGAGTGGGCTAATATCAGCGCTGGAAAATATTCCACTTTTACAGGAAGAAATTTCCAAGAAACTGGTATGTACATCACCCAGACCCGGTTACAGAGACCTATAACAATTTTATGGAACATTACAATACATATAGACAGAACAATCAATGCTAATCGGCCAGACACCGTGATCAAAGACCACAAAAACAGAATGTGCTTTCTTATTAACATGACAGGCTCTGCAGTCTGTAATATGTCGTTGAAGATATTAAAAAAAAAACTATAAAAATATGAAGTGGAAATCTAGAATGTGGCACATGGGAACATCAGTAATTCCAGTTGTAGTTGGAGCACTCGGATTGATTGAAAACGGTTCCGATAGACTCAATGAAGAGATTCCTGGTAGCCCACGTCTTAAAGAAATACAAATAATTGTACTCACAAGTAGAGCTCACGCGTTGCGAAGAGCTTTATCTTTGGAAAATGTGTGTGATCTTTGTTTTTTTTTTTTTTTTTTTTTAAAAATGATCAGTGGAAAATGTCATGAAGCCATTTCTGACCTTAGGTAACTGGTTGGGACCAGTGGCGTAACTAAGTGGGGGCGATGGGGGGGGCGGACCGCCCTGTGCCAACACAAGAGGGGTGACACAATGTTACCCCCAATAAAATTTTTCCAACCAGGCTAAGGTGCTAAAAATAGTCTGAAAACAGTGGTGGAGACACAGGGTTTCGCAGGCTGGCATATGACCCCCCCCCCCGAAATAATTTATGACCCCCCCAGTTTTGTCCCCCGTCAGAAATTTTCTAATAAATTGTCAGGAAATTTGTTTAGGAAAAATAGCAATGTTTTTCAGCTTTTGATTTGAACTGATTATTTTGTGGTATTGGATTTTGTCTTGGATCATACATGCAAACAGTAACGTACCGGTCAGTTGAGTAAAGTAGAGGTAGAGCATGTATGAAAATTTAGCTACAGCTAACCATTCAGCATAGAGTGAATCGGGGTCATTAGGGTGACATTTGAGAGGACCGCCCCGGGTGAGGTTTACTCTAGATACGCCACTGGTTGGGACCCGGAAGGAAATGTGTATACAACAGAAATCCAAGGAAAAGAATAATAATAATAATAATAATTCCATACATTACGAAGGGATTTAACTATGTAATTTTTTTTTTTTTTTGTCAGTGGAAAATGCCATGATGCCATTTCTAACCTTAGGTCTCTGGGCGGGACCCGGAAGGAAAATGTGTACACACCAGAAATCAAAGGAAATAATAATAATAATAATAATAATAATAATAATAATAATATGGTGCAGTCATAGATAGTCTTTAGAATTCCACATGAAATAAGCTTTGTAACAAAAGTTCCTAAATAAGCGGAAATGCTTCTGTTACATGTTAGCATTTGTTTTCTTTTTCAGCCCAACTACTGATCACCCACAAGCCAGTCAATACGGACGTGACTGTAAACGAGACGGCGTTTCTCTCCTGTCGAGTATCTCATGATAATTTCGCGGAACTCACCGAATACTGGACATTTAATGGCTACTATATCAATATCCAGCACAGTTTCCATTTTGCAGTGGTCAGTTTAATTACAAAAAAAGTCTTTCCTTTTGTTTTCATCTTGAAGTTCTTTAATTTGTTATTTCTGTAGAAAAGGGATTCGTACACATCAAGGCGTACTTATGGAAACGTAGATGTGCCATAATTTGACCATTTCTTAAGGGTTTCACTAAATATGGTCTTTAGTAATTAAAAAAAAAATTAATAAAAATTGATTAAGAATTAAGGCCTTCTTCATCATCTTCTTTTTCTTCTTCTTTTTCTTTTTCTTCTGCATTTTCTTCATATTTTTCTTCTTGTTCTTTTTTCTTCTTTTTAAAAATTTCTTTTACTTTTCTTTTTCTTCTTTCTCTTCTTTCTTTTTCTTTTCTTTTGTATTTTTTTCCATTTATTTCTTCTTTTTTCTTTTTACTTTTCTTTTTTTTTTTTCTTTTGTCTTTTCTTCTTATTTTCTTTTTCTTTTTTCTTTTTTTTTTTTTTTGTTTTTTCTTCTTTTTACTTTTCTTTCTTTTTTTTCTTTTTTTTTTTCTTTTTTTTTTTTTTTCTTTTCTTCTGTATTTTTCTCCATATATTTCTTGTTTCTTTTTCTTTTTTTTACTTTTCGTCTTTCTTTTTACTTTTCTTTTTCTTCTTTCTCTTCTTTCTTTTTTTTTTTCTTCTGTATTTTTCTCCATATATTTCTTGTTCTTTTTTCTTCTTTTTTACTTTTCGTCTTTCTTTTTACTTTTCTTTTTTTTCTTCTTTCTTCTTTCTTTTTTTTTTTCTTCTGTATTTTTCTCCATATATTTCTTGTTCTTTTTCTTCTTTTTACTTTTCGTCTTTCTTTTTACTTTTCTTTTTTTCTTCTTTCTCTTCTTTCTTTTTTCTTTTTTTCTTCTGTATTTTTTCTCCATATATTTCTTGTTCTTTTTTCTTCTTTTTTACTTTTCGTCTTTCTTTTATTTTCTTTTTTTCTTTCTTCTTTCTTTTTTTTTTTCTTTGTTTTTTCTCCATATATTTCTTGTTCTTTTTTTCTTTTTTTTTTTTTTTTTTTTTTTTTTTTTTCTTTTCTTCTTTTTTTTCTTTTTTTTTTTTTCTTTCTTTTTTTTCTTTTTTCTTTTTTACTTTTTTCGTTCTTTTTCTTTTTTACTTTTCGTCTTTGTCTTCTTTTTTTTCTTTCTTTTTTTTTTTTTTCTTCTGTATTTTTCTCCATATATTTCTTGTTCTTTTTTCTTCTTTTTACTTTTCGTCTTTCTTTTACTTTTCTTTTTTCTTCTTTCTCTTCTTTTTTTTTTTTTTCTTCTGTATTTTTTCTCCATATATTTCTTGTTCTTTTTTCTTCTTTTTTACTTTTCGTCTTTCTTTTACTTTTCTTTTGTCTTCTTTTCTCTTCTTTCTTTTTTTTTCTTTTTTTTTCTGTATTTTTCTTCTTTTTTTCTTCTTCTTTTTTCTTTTTCTTTTTCTTTTCTTTCTTTTGTTTTCTTTTTCTTTTTTTTTTTTTTTTCTTCTGTATTTTTTTCTCCATATATTTCTTGTTCTTTTTTTCTTTTCTTTCTTTTTTTTTTTTTTTTTCTTCTTTCTCTTCTTTCTTTTTTTTTTTCTTCTGTATTTTTTCTCCATATATTTTTGTTCTTTCTTTTTTCTTTTTCTTTTTGTCTTTTTTTTACTTTTCTTTTTCTTTTTTTTCTTTTTTTTTTTTTTTTTCTTTTTCTCCATATATTTCTTGTTCTTTTTTCTTCTTTTTTATTTTTCGTCTTTCTTTTTTCTTTTCTTTTGTCTTCTTTCTCTTCTTTCTTTTTTTTTTTTTTTTCTGTATTTTCTCCATATATTTCTTGTTCTTTTTTTCTTCTTTTTTTTTTCGTCTTTCTTTTTTTCTTTTCTTTTTTCTTCCTTCTCTTTTTTTTTTTTTTTCTTCTGTATTTTTCTCCATATATTTCTTGTTCTTTTTTCTTCTTTTTTTACTTTTCGTCTTTCTTTTTACTTTTCTTTTCTTCTTTCTCTTTCTTTTTTCTTTTTCTTCTGTATTTTTTTCCATATTTTCTTGTTCTTTTTTTCTTTTTTTTACTTTTTCGTCTTTCTTTTTACTTTTCTTTTTCTTCTTTCTCTTCTTTCTTTTTTTTTTTTTTTCTTCTGTATTTTTTTCCATATATTTCTTGTTCTTTTTCTTCTTTTTACTTTTTTGTCTTTCTTTTACTTTTCTTTTTTTCTCTTCTTTCTCTTCTTTTTTTTTTTTTTTTTTTCTTTTTTTCTCCATATATTTCTTGTTCTTTTTCTTCTTTTTACTTTCGTCTTTCTTTTACTTTTCTTTTTGTCTTCTTTCTCTTCTTTTCTTTTTTTCTTTTCTTCTGTATTTTTCTCCATATATTTCTTGTTCTTTTTCTTCTTTTTTACTTTTCGTCTTTCTTTTACTTTTCTTTTTCTTCTTTCTTTTTCTTTTTCTTTTTTTTTCTTCTGTATTTTTTCTCCATATATTTCTTGTTCTTTTCTTGTTTTTACTTTTCGTCTTTCTTTTACTTTTCTTTTTTCTTCTTTTCTTTTCTTTTTTTTTTTTTTTTCTTATTTTTCTCCATATATTTCTTGTTCTTTTTTTTCTTTTTCTTTTTCTTCTTTTTTTTACTTTTCTTCATTTTTCTTTTTTCTTTTTCTTCTTTTCTTTTTTCTTTTTTTTGTTTTTTTCTCTTTTTCTTTCTTTTTCTTTTTTTTTTCCATTTTTCTTTTCTTTTTCTTTTTACTTTTCTTTTTTTCTTCTTTTGTCTTTTTCTTTTTTCTTTTTCTTTTTTCTTTTCTCTATATTTTTGTTCTTTTTTTCTTCTCTTTTTTTGGTCTTTCTTTTTTTTCTTTTTGTCTTCTTCCTCTTCTTTTTTTTCTTTTTCTTCTGTATTTTTCTCCATTATTTTTCTTTTTTTTTTTTCTTTACTTTTTCGTCTTTTTTTTACTTTTCTTTTTTTCTTCTTTCTCTTCTTTCTTTTTCTTTTTTCTTCTGTTTTTTCTCCATATATTTCTTTTCTTTTTCTTCTTTTTTACTTTTCGTCTTTCTTTTTTGTTTTCTTTTTTCTTCTTTCTCTTCTTTCTTTTTTTCTTTTTCTTCTGTATTTTTCTCCATATATTTCTTGTTCTTTTTTTCTTTTTACTTTTCGTCTTTTTTTTTTTCTTTTTTTCTTCTTTCTCTTCTTTCTTTTTTTTTTTTTTCTGTATTTTTCTCCATATTTTTCTTTTTCTTTTCTTCTTTTTCTTCGTTATTCTTTTACTTTTTTTTTCTTCTTTCTCTTCTTTTTTTTTTTTTCTTCTGTATTTTTCTCCATATATTTCTTGTTCTTTTTTTTCTTTTTACTTTTCGTCTTTCTTTTTCTTTTTTTTTCTTTTTCTTTTTTTTTTTTTCTTCTGTATTTTTTCTCCATATATTTCTTTTCTTTTTCTTCTTTTTACTTTTCGTCTTTCTTTTACTTTTCTTTTTGTCTTCTTTCTCTTCTTTTTTTTTTTTTTTTTCTGTATTTTTTCTCCATATATTTCTTTTTCTTTTTTTTCTTTTTTTTTCGTCTTTCTTTTTTTCTTTTTTTTTTTTTCTTTCTTTCTTTTTTTTTTTTTTCTTCTGTATTTTTCTCCATATATTTCTTGTTCTTTTTTTTCTTTTTTTTTCTCTTTTTTCGTCTTTCTTTTACTTTTCTTTTTCTCTTCTTTCTTCTTCTTTCTTTTTTTCTTTTTTCTCTGTATTTTTCTCCATATATTTCTTGTTCTTTTTTCTTCTTTTTACTTTTCGTCTTTCTTTTACTTTTCTTTTTCTTCTTTCTCTTCTTTCTTTTTTCTTTTTTCTTCTGTATTTTTCTCCATATATTTCTTGTTCTTTTTTCTTCTTTTTACTTTTCGTCTTTTCTTTTTTAATTTTCTTTTTTTTTTTAATTTTCTTTCTTTCTCTTCTTTTTTTTTCTTTTTCTTCTGTATTTTTTCTCCATATATTTCTTGTTCTTTTCTTCTTTTTACTTTTCGTCTTTTTTTTCTTTTACTTTTCTTTTGTCTTCTTTCTCTTCTTTCTTTTTTTCTTTTTCTTCTGTATTTTTCTCCATATATTTCTTGTTCTTTTTCTTCTTTTTACTTTTCGTCTTTCTTTTACTTTTCTTTTTCTTCTTTCTCTTCTTTCTTTTTTTCTTTTTTCTTCTGTATTTTTCTCCATATATTTCTTGTTCTTTTTTCTTCTTTTTACTTTTCGTCTTTCTTTTACTTTTCTTTTGTCTTCTTTCTCTTCTTTCTTTTTCTGTATTTTCTCCATATTTTCTTGTTCTTTTTCTTCTTTTTACTTTTCGTCTTTCTTTTACTTTTCTTTTCTTCTTTTCTTCTTTCTTTTTTTCTTTTTCTTCTGTATTTTTCTCCATATATTTCTTGTTCTTTTTTCTTCTTTTTACTTTTCGTCTTTCTTTTACTTTTCTTTTGTCTTCTTTCTCTTCTTTCTTTTTTTTTTTTCTTCTGTATTTTTCTCCATATATTTCTTGTTCTTTTTTCTTCTTTTTACTTTTTGTCTTTCTTTTACTTTTCTTTTGTCTTCTTTCTTTTCCTTCTTTTTTTCTTTTTCTTCTGTATTTTTCTCCATATATTTCTTGTTCTTTTTTCTTCTTTTTACTTTTCGTCTTTCTTTTACTTTTCTTTTTTCTTCTTTCTCTTCTTTCTTTTTTTCTTTTTCTTCTGTATTTTTCTCCATATATTTCTTGTTCTTTTTTCTTCTTTTTACTTTTCGTCTTTCTTTTACTTTTCTTTTGTCTTCTTTCTCTTCTTTCTTTTTTTCTTTTTCTTCTGTATTTTTCTCCATATATTTCTTGTTCTTTTTCTTCTTTTTACTTTTTGTCTTTCTTTTACTTTTCTTTTGTCTTCTTTCTCTTCTTTCTTTTTTTTTTCTTCTGTATTTTTCTCCATATATTTCTTGTTCTTTTTTCTTCTTTTTACTTTCGTCTTTCTTTTCTTTTTTTCTTTTGTCTTCTTTCTCTTCTTTCTTTTTTTCTTTTTCTTCTGTATTTTTCTCCATATATTTCTTGTTCTTTTTTCTTCTTTTTACTTTTCGTCTTTCTTTTACTTTTCTTTTGTCTTCTTTCTCTTCTTTCTTTTTTTTTTTTTTTTCTCTTCTTTTTCTCCATATATTTCTTGTTCTTTTTTTTTTCTTTTTTACTTTTTTCTTTTTTTTTCTTTTTCTTTTTCTCTTCTTTCTTTTTTCTTTTTCTTTTCTTCTGTATTTTTTCTCCATATATTTCTTGTTCTTTTTTCTTCTTTTTTACTTTTCGTCTTTCTTTTTACTTTTCTTTTCTTCTTTCTCTTCTTTCTTTTTTCTTTTCTTCTGTATTTTTCTCCATATATTTCTTGTTCTTTTTCTTCTTTTTTACTTTTCGTCTTTCTTTTACTTTTTTTTTTCTTTCTTTCTTTCTTTTTTCTTTTTCTTTTATTTTTTCCATTCTTTCTTATTTTTTCTTCCATATTTTTTCTTTTTCTTTTTTTTTCTTTTCTTCTTTTTCGTCTTTCTTTTTATTTTTCTTTTTTCTTTCTCTTTTTTCTTTTTTTTTTTTTGTTCTGTATTTTTCTTCTTTATATTTCTTTTTTCTTCTTTTTTTTCTTTTTTTCTTTTCGTCTTTCTTTTACTTTTCTTTTTTTTACTTCTTTTTCTTCTTCTTTCTTTCTTTTTTTTTTTCTTCTGTATTTTTCTCCATATATTTCTTGTTCTTTTTTTCTTCTTTTTTACTTTTCGTCTTTCTTTTACTTTTCTTTTTCTTCTTTCTCTTCTTTCTTTTTTTTTTTTTTCTTTATTTTTCTCCATATATTTCTTGTTCTTTTTTCTTCTTTTACTTTTCGTCTTTCTTTTTACTTTTCTTTTCTTCTTTTCTCTTCTTTCTTTTTTTTTTTTCTTCTGTATTTTTTTCTCCATATATTTCTTGTTCTTTTTTCTTCTTTTTACTTTTCGTCTTTCTTTTTTTACTTTTCTTTTTCTTCTTTCTCTTCTTTCTTTTTTCTTTTTCTTCTGTATTTTTCTCCATATATTTTTGTTCTTTTTCTTCTTTTTTTAATCTTTCTTTTACTTTTCTTTTGTTTTTCTTTCTCTTCTTTCTTTTTTTCTTTTTCTTCTGTATTTTTCTCCATATATTTCTTGTTCTTTTTTCTTCTTTTTACTTTTCGTCTTTCTTTTACTTTTCTTTTTCTTCTTTCTCTTCTTTCTTTTTTTCTTTTTCTTCTGTATTTTTCTCCATATATTTCTTGTTCTTTTTTCTTCTTTTTACTTTTCGTCTTTCTTTTACTTTTCTTTTGTCTTCTTTCTCTTCTTTCTTTTTTTTTTCTTCTGTATTTTTTCTCCATATATTTCTTTTTTTTACTTTTTTTTTCTTTTCTTCTCTTTTTTCTTTTTTCTTTTTTCTTTTTTTCTTCTTTTACTTTTTTTCTTTTTTTTTTTCTCTTCTTTTCTTTTTTCTTTTTCTTCTGTATTTTTTTCTCCATATATTTCTTTTTCTTTTTCTTTTTTTCTCCTTTTCTCTTTTTTTTTTCTTTTTCTTTTTTCTTTCTTGTTTTCTTTTTTTTTTTTCTTCTGTATTTTTCTCCATATATTTCTTTGTCTTTTTTTCTTTTTTACTTTCTCTCTTTTCTTTTCTTTTTTCTTCTTTTTACTTGCTTTTTCCTGGGGTTACTGAGTGTGAAAGATTAAAAAAAAAAGAGAATCATTATTTTTTGCTTCTTTTACTTTTCGTCTCTCAATAAGAAGATTAATCAAGAGGACAGGAGATAACAATTGACATTGCCTTTAAATTGTTTAAGATTGAAATTGTCTGAAAAGCATGGAAACAAATGAGAGTTCCACAAGCAAGAAGTGCGAGGAAAGAAACTGCTAGCATAGAACTTGCGTTTACATTTATCCAATTCAACAGTAAATTGATGGAACCTTGCCGCCAATCTGGTACTGCACTTAAATTCATAAAGTCTAGGTACAACAGCGGAGAGTTCAACTGAACAATTACCATGAAAGTATTTATAGAAAAGGTACTGGGAAGCTAGGTTACGGCGGTGTCTTTCCGGGGTGGAGATACCATATCTTGGCTGAAGTTAACGAGTCTTCATTTTGTAATCTTGGTAAGTTCAAAAAAAGCCTCTAGGCGGCCTTACCATAAGCATTAACTTCCCCCGATTTGGACTCTTCCGGAATTATCCACCTTTTCCTGTACTATATATATATATATATATATATATATATATATATATATATATTATAACATAAGTATGTAATAGAAGCACTACAAAAATAACTGTCATGGCTCCTTACTTATAACTACAGAATTAACTCTTCCTAACACTATGTATACTACGCCTCTCAAGAGAGAGGGTCGAATCGCATCGAGCCGATAGTAGTTCACTCCAAACCAGACTGACAGTCATACTAACACCTTCCACATCTTGTATTATCATTTCGTGTAATATACCTTCGTTATTTCTACTCTTGTGTTCGTGTTGTTCTTCCTTGGTCCTAACCTGGACCATAACAATAACCTTTTTCTTTCAACACTTCTGGTATCTTGTCAAGTAATGGTATTGATTGCTACCGCAGTGCTGGCCTTGTTCAAATTGTTGATCACGCTAGATAACACGCTCTTTCCCAGAAACTGTAACCCAAGGTCAGCTCAGAGTAGTTGCAGTATAAACCACAGGTGGACCCTGTGCGTGTTGAACACAAATGTGCTCGAGCGAACGTCTGAATAAGGGATTGGCTGGACGCCCTGGTAGACGGGTATCCTCGAATACGAGTCGCCAGCTATTATATATATATATATATATATATATATATATATATATATATATATATATATGCATGTTTCATTAAAACAACAGACAAGGTACTACGGTTGAGCTTTTTATTTAATTTTTCTTGTGTTCTGACAAGAGCTTTCTTTTCTGGACAAAGAGTGTGTAAGAACTGTCCGAATGTTTTGTATTTCCGATCGCTTTCGGCTATACCTTTAGCCATTATCAAGGATGATTCGATTATCAGCTTAGTAGAGAGTGTGCATTCTGTGTATGTTCAGTGTGTGGTAGTGATGTTTTTAATTTCCGAATACGGTTAGGACATTATGGCTTTGTTCATAGTTAATATTGTTAAGAGTTGGCTTTTTTCTTTTTATTAGAGCTTCCATTATTTTTTAGTCTTTTTTTGCATGTGGATGCAGTTAATATATTTGTGTTTTCTACTAGTATGTTCCTAATAGTGTCGGGTAAATCTGAGTGTGTGTTTAAATGTGTTCTGATGGAGCTGTGATCAGATAGGTGTAACGTAAGACGTCTGGATAAACATGTGGTTGTGTAGCCGATGTAATTATTTATGAGTCCGGTTTGGTGAGGAACGCAGTTCCTTAAAGGCATTGAACTCATAGATAATGTTTGTTCTTTGTAATTTTGACTTAGTTGGTGTGTTGTTATTTTTGAGGATAAGGTTGGCCGTCTTAGATTTTTTATAATAGATAATAAGTTTGATTTTTTTATTCGGATCAATAGGAGTAGTATATTTCTTTATAATATGCCTTAGAGAAGATTCGTCTTGTATGTAATTAATATGCATTTGGTTTTTGTAATAAATGTGTATGTGATTTTTAGCTGTGTGTTCGCTATCGTTATTACTTGCTTTGGGGAGGAATAGTCTAATTTGTTGGTCTATAAGGTAGTTAGGGAAACCGTTGTTAATTAGTGTTTGTTTAACGTTGTTAAGTTCTTTGAGAAAGAGTAGTCGAGAGGATGACTTTTGGTATGCTCTATTTAGGAAGTTTTTTATTACTGCTACTTTGTACCTAAGTGGGCATTCCTTTTGAAATTAAAAGTGGCAATGAGTTTTTTTGCTGGTGGGTTTTTTGTATAATAATGTAATGAAAGTGTTATTGTTGTGTTCAACAAGGACATCTAAGAATGGTAATTTGTTTTTTTGGCTAAGTTCATATGTAAAGTTACACAGTTCTTATACACCCTTTGTCCAGAAAAGAAAATTCTTGTCAGAACACAAGAAAAATTAAATAAAAAGCTCAACCGTAGTACCTTGTCTGTCGTTTTTAATGAAACATGCATAAAGGAAAGGATGCTGTTATACAAATATAAATATATATATATATATATATATATATATATATATATATATATATATATATATATAGATAGATAGATAGATAATATAGTGGTAAATATACACATACATATACAAAATATATAAATATATATACATACATGCATACACATACCTATATATTTTGTATAAAAAAAATTCCAAGAGGATAGAATCCAGGTAGAACTTAATGTCAGGACAGAGTAAGGATATAATAAAAGGCTTAAACACTAATATTCCATGGTCAAATTTTATTCCATTGGAATCACAATACGATCAATTCATCAGACTGATAAATTTGTCGGTCTGATTCCAATGGAATCAACTATTATCATGGTATGGAACCCTTTTATTATATATATATATATATATATATATATATATATATATATATATAGAGAGAGAGAGAGAGAGAGAGAGAGAGAGAGAGAGAGAGCCACTCACTACCTTGAGAGGCTCTTGAGTCTTTTTAGGGAACATTAGTAAAGAAAATTTTTTTTTCCATTCTAGTTACATGTGCTAACGCAGAATGAAGAATTAGTGTCTTAAAATCGTTTTGACAGCAAAAGAGACAGAGGAAACAACACATAACTTACTTAACAAGCAAATGGATGACAGAACAGGGTTTAGGAGAAACAAGAAAAAGACAAAATTTATTAAGAGCTAAAAAGGACAAGAATTTTCGGAAAGCCATGATTGCCAACGTTCGGGGGGGGGACACGACACACAGAAGAGGAACAGTAACAGAAGACAGTGAAGGAAAGCGAGAAGAAAGGACTACACGTAAACTGCAAGAAGACAGAATGTGTGGATGAGCTCAAAACGCAAATTACAAATCAGAGATACCGAGATTAAACAAGTACAAAACTTGAAATACCTGGGAAGTGTTTTAACAGTGGATAGAAAGTATGACACTGAAATCCGAAAACGCCCTGAGATAGCCAAAAATGCCTTCCAAAAGCTAAGCAGAGTATTAAGAGGCAGAAAAAAAAACTTTGTTAGAAACAAAGAAAAGAGTACCGAACTCTTTCGTGATATCTGTCCTCCTATATGGCAGTGACTGTTGGACAATCTCCTCATACATGAAGAAGAGAATTGAAGAAACTGAAATGAGGTTCTACAGAAGGATGTTGAGGATACGAACATTTGAGCAATAACGAAATTTTAGAGAAAATGGAAAAAAAGTAAACTTATACTTAACATCAGGAACAGGCAGTTGAAACTTCTGGTCCACATAATGAGGAAAGAGGACTTGGAAAATCTGATACTCACAGGATAGATTGAAAAGGGAGGTGGGAAAGGGGAAAACAGCTCATAACATGCTTAACGAGCTTCAGCAAGTGGATGGCGTAATTAGGTTTAGGAGAAATAACGAAAAGACCAAATTTATTAAGAGTTACAAAAGACAGGAAATTGTGGAGAGCCATGATTCCCTATGTCCTGAGGAGACACGGCACATAAAGAAGACGACGACTTCGGAAGACACCTACATTTTTATCTTATTGAAGAACATTATGTCCGTGTAAGCGCTAATATTTTAGTGCATGTATAATTTATACGACTAATTCAAATTCCGGAGTATTCCATTGAGTTTACTTTCACACAAATGCCCTTGGGGAAGGTATGAATACATTTATTCTTCTTACCAGCTATGGGTTTAATCGCAAGGTATAGGGGATTCTTTAGCATTGGGTGGCCAGCAGTCTATGAAAAGGCAAACACTGAACTCGAAACCGTAGAGAAGGCAACGGGAAACCCCTGTCTTTTCCAAGAAGCCATGACAATTCGAAAATAAAAAAAAGAAAAGGAATATGTAAAAAGTCATGATTGAAGGGACAAGGCATTAAAAAGTGTGTGGGTGGGGAGATAGATACCGATTGGGACTTTGAAACTGTTTTAATATTTGGGACCGAAAGTGATTCGTATTGTAAATTGTATTTC